GACAAAATGGCAATCCCAAACCTGGTGTTGTCAGTAGGATTTGTTATATCTTTTCATATATATTTAATTGACATCTGCCATTCGAGGAGCTGGACAGAATATCCTCTTCAAGTCAACCAGCTGCGTATAACAGCACTGGTGTCAGCACGTTTGCTTTATTTTGATAATGGTGCCCTTCCTACCAGAGGCAATGTTCAAAGTTATGAGGGCTACACCTGCACCTAATAACTATAATTTTGTAGCACAGAACTAAAAGTGCCACAGGTTTCTCAGTGGGATGGGTTTTTGTGCAACACTGAATTTAGTACTGTGTACGTGACAAACTCCACAAGAGAACAAATGTAACAATTTTATTTCATTACAATAATTGATGCACTGCTGCAATTCATTCACTGGCGATCTACAAACCACCTTCAGGTAATAATACTAAGCAGTTTTATGATGAATCGCAAAACAAAGCAGAGGAGAGTTCAGACATTGAATGACAGAGGAACTATGAGACAGAGTACATGAAATTTCATGTAATTAACAAGAGTTCAGTATATTGGTTGGAGAACTAGTAGAAAACACAAGTCACTTCCGAGAAGATGACCCGATTGGATTAAATATTTGACAGGCACTTAACTGGTCACTGCGGGATCTTCCAAAAAATTCAAGATGCTGCAGGCAGGAATCCTGCTGATGCTACTAAATCAGGCGCACTATAGGCAATTCCACTGGGAGTGGTGGCTACTGCTAGCAGTGCACCCAAGGAGAAGCCTCAGACCACAGAAGTACTTAGGCTAAAGTGAGTCAGAGTCTTCTGGAAACATTGATGCAAAATGAATCCAGAGAGCTCCAGCCCAGCTGCTTGTAAATATAAGTATTTAATGTATGAGTATAAACAGCATAAAATATCATTCATAGGGAAATTAGTGAAAGTTCTAACAATGAGCTGAAGATATGATTGAGTTAGAGTAGAGGCCATCTTCACTTTCTGCTAGTCATACCATTTCTAATATGACACATTTAGTCTGACACTGAGTCAAGACACCCCAGAAGGTCAGAGCTTGGTTCTATGGAAGCAGGGGGAGGCAAGGCAGGGATCTCCCATACCTTCCATGCCAACATATGTACCTATACCTGGCCCTTTATAGCCCCCATGCTAGCAGTTCACAACTCAGGCTAACCCACGTCCATCCAGCTTTTGCCCTCACATTTGCCATGCCCACTCACTCAGTGCCCACCATGGGCAGACCCCAGGACCCCTGCTGAGATTAAATATATTTAAGGGTCTATTAATAAAAAACAAACCGTCAAATTGATAAAAACCCATTTACCACATTTAACTTGCTTTAAGTCATCTGTAAAAATAAGTTTTGTAATTCTCAATCCCACTTCATCTATAACCATTTGGAGAAGTCTATCATGCTGTGCACTGACAGACCCCCTGCTGTGCAAGAGTTCTGAAATCAATGGTGTGCTCTTGTCTTGTAATGATTAACCTTACATTAATTTCAATAGGCAGAGTGAAATCGCAAGCACTATGTTTTTTCAACACAGAAACACAATTCCTTTTTTTCAAATATTTAAAGAGCAACTGTTTTAAATGCCTTCATAGTTCTCTTTGTCAGTTTCCTTTTACAGCTATATAGACAATTCTCCTAACAGTTACCTTAACAGTTCCCTTAAGCTTTTATGACAGTTCTCTGGAGATCTATCTTGCCAATTCTTCTGACAGTTCCAATGAACTTGACAGTTCTAAAGAGTTTAGGATCTTTTTAAACACACGTTTGTATCTACTTTTAACAATCCCAAAGGTGTCATATTTCTCTGAAAAGGACATAACATCAACCCACAACCAGGGCCCCTGGACATAACCAAAATGGTACCTTAACTCTCCAAAATGATGCGCTACACCTCCAAATGAACCTGACATCATTAGACTATCTCCTGTGAGCTCTAAATTGCACAAGCCATGTTTTAGATATCCAAGTAGCACAATTCAGATCAGCCTGACACAGTTGCACTTTAACATACTTCAGTTACACATCAGTGCAACTTACATACTTTCACTTGATGCATAATCTGTACAAAGGTAATGACTGACCTCCCATAAGTGTTGTTTACAGCAAATGGGAAGAAACACTCTTACAATAATATGATTATTATGAATATAAATTGATGGAGTAGGTGTTAGAGTAAGCATATTACATGAAGTGTGAGCTATACACAAGACATTAATAGTAAGGAGCCAGATGGTTAAGCACATTGCTCAAGTCACCCAAAGTAGCTGGTGGGAGGCCTGGATCAACACAATATTGGGAGACCAGGAGACTGACCCAGCTGGCTAAGAGGTGAGTCCTGGCAAAGCTCTACAGATCATGATTGAAAGGGTTAGGCTGCCTAGCACCCATATAATTCTTGTGGTGCCTATGGTAGCACTGATACTGTTCTTGGCACATATTCTTTTTTGGCTTCTGCCTCTTCATCACTCAGTACAGCTTGGTAGTAGGTGCCTCAAAATTGAATCAGGATACGAAATATATCAAAGAGCTTAAATCTGAAGATTGCAATAGAGTAATAGAGCTGCCAGACAATTCGAGTGGACACACTGGGCCATTAAACAGAAGGTCCCAGAAATATGGTGGCTTAGGAAGAATAGGGAGCTAGGTTCTCCAAAACTAATAACGTACAGCTTTTGTTAGTGTGAGCTGGACAAAGTTAAAATTCATCCTTTAATATATTGCTAAACTCTCATGGATTGCTCATAATGAACTTATTCACTGCCTCATATTTGTCCTCCTTGCCATGCATTTATAACCCAGTTGCATCATATGTATCAGTCCAAATAGGTTTCAGCTCAATATCGATGTAAATGCTTAGTCCAATGGGTAAATTACATTGCCTTAATCAAGCAATTTAACCATCTGCAGTTTTTCTATTAAGATGATGACAGACCATTCTATCCATATCTTCTCTCCAACAGAGAAGAAGCATATATGTTTTCAACTCATTTCTACCCTGTCGTCTGTTCCTATTTAACTGCTACCTACATTTTCCTCCCCCAATTCAGGCCGAGCTTATATCTAAATGTTAATTTGTCTACCTCCTCTACAGTTGGTGACAGACCTCCTGGACTGCCTGAACTGCTGGGTTGTGCAATACCATTTTGGAGGAGATTGCTGCATTATTTCGATTTTGTACTGCAGCCACTGAAAAGAAAACTTTTAATCATTTAGTTAACTTAAATATTTGTAAAGTGGAATGAGATTTAATTGGTCCTGTACATGAAGCTTATCTGCATATTTAGAACTGTTGGACCTCAAACTGGAACAGGTACAGATCTAGTGGCATAACTTGAGATTGCTGACTACACATTATTCGTTTTTTGGTTTTTGGGTTTTAAGTATATACCGCACCATTTACATTGTCCATGCTCATCACAGGGAGCCATGTACATCAGCACAAATAGCTCCAACTAGTCACTAACTCCAAATAAAGTCACTCACAAAAACATTGTTTGTAATACTTTAAGCATTCCAGCTGTCTTAGGCAGTTCAATAATTATTTACCATATATTTACTAATGTAAAATGCTCTGCTGGTTCCAATCAAATTCACTGCTTTGAACAGTTTCAATCAGTTCTTCACACCTCATTAAAATGCAATTATCTTATTGAATGGGATTCTGCACCCAACTGCTGACAATTAGTTGCTAAGTGATACTTCCTGTGTTATTTTAAATATGATTGTCACATCATTTTGGTTTTTATCGTCCTCCACATAAATCACATTAAAACTAACATGCCCAATTTAAGTGTTGAGAATTGCACCTTTAATAGAAAATCTTTATTTATTATCACTGAAGAAAGATATCCTCCATTCATTGTTTGTACCAACATTTAGCCACAGTCTTAAGATGCACATTTACAATCTATTCTGAATTTTAGCAGATGAGGAAGGGTCACCGGACCCGAAACATTAACTCTGATTTTTTTCTTCACAGATGCCACCAGACCTGCTGAGCTTTTCCAGCAATTTCTGTTTTATTTCATCTTTGCTAACAAACCTGTGTCTCAAATGTGTATTTCAACACTTGTTTTGTCAAGTGTCAATAGGAAGTAGCAGTTCTCTCACAGTACAGATCATAAGAAAGTGTTTTTGGCCAAATTTTTCCAACAGAAAGATAGACATTCCATCTCTCCACCATTGACTTATAACTTCCCCCTTCCCATCTCCTCATTCATCACCATAGACCCAATATTCAATTTGATTTGAATTAATGTAGTCACATGCACATAAGTACAATGGAAAGCTTTGTTTTGCAAGCAGTACAGGCAGATCATAGCAAACAAGGACATACAGATCATCAGGACATTGCTCCCATATGCATCACGTTTGGACTTCACAAGTAAAGCACCAACTTTTATGGGCAGGCATGAAATTTTACATTTCCCCCCCTCCTAAATTCCCAACCATCACTGGGACCTTCCAAACTCCTAAATCCAGGGACCATTACTCAATCTTTGCTCACTACCCCCAACCCATCCCCTGGAGGTATTCAAGCAGGAAAAAAATGATGCCAGGTTCCTGTGATGCCTACAGGCTCTGAATGCTGTCATAGAGAGAAGTTCTCTTCCCTAGGGATAGACATCCCAACTGTACAGAGGTGGCTGTGGAGGCCAGCATTCATGGACTGCTGGAGAGAAGCTGTCTCTAGTATGCAAGGGGATGAATGGTATGCTGTACTCAGCCAGGGTATAAACTCAATGAGTCAAGCCCCTACGAGTGTGAATTAGCATTGTACTGTTTCCACTGCACAGGGCTGTCTCACAGGAGATTTGGTGTCTCAATCAGATCCCCCGTGGGCAATCGATGTCTGTCATTTAATTGCAGCTAACAATGCAGTATCATTGGTAACAGAATGAGTGGCACTGCATCTCAAACATCTGCCATGGCTCACAGTAAAAAACATAAAAGCAACTACAGTACTCAGGAGATTACACACTCACTGCTAACCTTTCATCACAACTAGGAGAACGTACACATCTCAGATAACAAGGTGCAGAGCTGGATGAACACAGCAGGCCAAGCAGCATCATAGGAGCAGAGAGGCTGACGTTTCAGGCCTAGACCCTTCATCAGAAAAGGGGGAGGGGAAGGGGGTTCTGAAATAAATAGGGAGAGAGGGGGAGGTGGACAGAAGATGGATAGAGGAGAAGATAGGTGGAGAGGAGACAGTCAGGTCAAAGAGGCGGGGATGGAGCCAGTAAAGGTGAGTGTAGGTGGGGAGGTAGGGAGCAGATAAATCAGTCCAGGGAGGACGGACAGGTCAAGGGGGCGGGATGAGGTTAGTAGGTAGGAGATGGGGGTGGGGCTTGGGGTGGGAGGAGGGGATAGGTGGGAGGAAGGACAGGTTAGGGAGGCAGGGACGAGCTGGACTGGTTTTGGGATGCGGTAGGGGGAGGGGAGATTTTGAAGCTTGTGAAGTCCACATTGATACCATTGGGCTGCAGGGTTCCCAAGCGGAATATGAGTTGCTGTTCCTGCAACCTTCGGGTGGCATCGTTGTGGCACTGCAGGAGGCCCAGGATGGACGTGTCGTCTGCGGAATGGGAGGGGGAGTTGAAATGGTTCGTGACTGGGAGGTGCAGTTGTTTAGTGCAAACCGAGCGTAGGTGTTCTGCAAAGCGGTCCCCAAGCCTCCGCTTGGTTTCCCCAATGCAGAGGAGGCCACAACGGGAGTAGCGGATGCAGTATACCACATTAGCAGATGTGCAGGTGAACATCTGCTTGATGTGGAAAGTCTTCTTGGGGCCTGGGATGGGGGTGGGGGGGGAGGTGCAGGGGCAGGTGTAGCACTTCCTGCGGTTGCAGAGAAAAGTGCCGGGTGTGGTGGGGCTGGAGGGGAGTGTGGAGTGGACAAGGCAGTCACGGAGAGAGTGGTCCCTCCGGAAAGCAGATAAGGGTGGGGAGGGAAAAATGTCTTTGGTGGTGGGGTCGGATTGCAGATGGCGGAAGTGTCGGAGGATGATGCGTTGGATCCGGAGGTTGGTGGGGTGGTACGTGAGGATGAGGGGGATTCTGTTTTCGTTGTTATTGTGGGGAGGGGTTGTGAGGGATGAGTTGCGGGAAATGCGGGAGACACGGTCGAGGACGTTCTCGACCACTGAGTTGGGGGGGGAAGTTGCGGTCCTTGAAAAATGAGGACAACTGAGATGTACGGGAGTGGAATGCCTCATCCTGGGAGCAGATGCGGCAGAGGCGAAGGAATTGGGAATAGGGGATGGCATTTTTGCAGGAAGGTGGGTAGAAGGAGGTGTATTCTAGGTAGCTGTGGGAGTCGGTGGGCTTGAAATGGATATCGGTTTCTAGGTGGTTGCCAGAGATGGAGACAGAGAGGTCCAGGAAGGAGAGAGAGGTATTGGAGATGGTCTAGGTGAACTTAAGGTTGGGGTGGAAGGTATTGGTGAAGTGGATGAACTGTTCGAGCTCCTCGTGGGAGCACGAGGCGGCGCCGATACCGTCATCAATGTAACGGAGGAAGAGGTGGGGTATAGGGCCAGTGTAGGTACGGAAGAGGGATTGTTCCACATAACCTACGAAGAGGCAGGCATAGCTTGGGCCCATGCGGGTACCACGGCCACCCCCTTTGTCTGTAGGAAGTGGGAGGAATTGAAAGAGAAGTTGTTGAGAGTGAGGACGAGTTCAGCTAAGTGGATGAGGGTGTCAGTGGAGGGGGACTGGTCGGGCCTGCGGGACAAGAAGAAGCGGAGGGCCTTTAGGCCATCTGTATGGGGAATGCAGGTGTATAGGGACTGGACGTCCATGGTAAAGATGAGGTGTTGGGGACCAGGGAATTGGAAGTTCTAGAGGAGGTGGAGGGCGTGGGTGGTGTCACGGACGTAGGTAGGGAGTTCCTGGACAAAGTGGGAGAAAATGGAGTCAAGATAGGTGGAGATAAGTTCGGTGGGGCAGGAGCAGGCGGAAACAATGGGTCAACCAGGGCAGTCAGGTTTGTGATTTTGGGAAGGAGATAGAAGCGGGCGGTGCGGGGTTGGGGAAGGATGAGGTTTGAGGCTGTGGGTGGAAGGTCACCTGAGGTGATGAGGTTGTGGATGGTTTGGGAGATGATGGTTTGGTGGTCAGGGGTGGGGTCATGATCAAGGGGGCGGTAGGAGGAGGTGTCGGAGAGTTGGCGTCTGGCCTCGGCGATGTAGAGGTCAGTGCGCCATACTACAACTGCGCCTCCCTTGTCCGCGGGTTTTATGGTGAGGTTGGGATTGGAGCGGAGGGCTGCATGTTCTGAGGGGGAGAGGTTGGAGTGGGTGAGAGGGGTGGAGAGGTTGAGGCGATTGATGTCTCGACGGCAGTTGGAGATGAAGAGGTCGAGGGAGGTAGGAGGCCTTGGGGTGGTGTCCAGGAGGAGGGGGTGTGTTGGAGGTGGGAGAAGGGGTCAGTAGAGGGAGGGTTAGGCTCACGGTTGAAGAAGTAAGTGTGGAGGCGGAGGCGGCAGAAAAACTGCTCTATGTCCAAACGTGACCGGTATTCGTTGATGTGTGGGTGGAGGGGGACAAAGGTGAGCACTTTACTGAGGACTGACCGTTCGTCCTCAGTAAGGGGGAGGTCTGGGGGGATGGTGAAGACTCGGCAGGGCTGGGTGCTGCTGTCTCCTCTGGAACTGCTGGCTGTGGAGGCGGTGGGCAGAGCGACGTCGGTGTCGGTGGTGGGCCGTGCGGTGTCGGCTGTGGGCGGAGTTGCGTCGGCATCTGCGGTGGGCGGAGTTGCGTCGGCGATGGCAGTGGGCGGAGTTGCATCGGCACTGGTGGTGGGCGGAGTTGTATCGGCATTGGTGGTGGGCGGAGCTGCATCGACGGTGGGCAGAGCAGGGTAGGCGGCGGCAGCAGCAGTGATGGTAGGTACGTCCTCAGTGTCTATGGTGCTGGCCTCAGAAATGGAGGCGGTGGCATCAGCAGCGGTGTCGATGGCGTTCGCTGTCCCGGAAGTGGTGTATCCGGCAGTGGAGGATGTGACGTCATCTGTGGGTGCTCCGACAGTGGCCACATTTGGGATTTGGGAGGTGGAGTAGGCCCGTTTTGGGTGGTAGGCACCAGTAAGTTTACTGTACTTAACGGTTTTTAGTTTCCAATAAAGCTGAGTAGAATTGTGAGTTCAGGTTGTGGATCCTACGAGGAATAAAAAACAGGAGAGGTCCTTTGCAGGTCTGGGAGAGGGAGGCTCTGAGCTGAGGTAGGCTTGATTGTAGTGCCCGGAGATGCCGGCGCATTGCTGCGAGTGTGTGTGTCAGGAGTCGCAGGGAGAAACGCTTCTGAAGGATCTCAATGTTCTGAATGTAGACATTGTCACAGTTAGGGCCAAATTGGGAAGGCCTGAATGTGGACTGTAGACCACTGGGGATGATCTGGTTCCATAGGCAAGTACACATCTGACTGCTTCTCACTGCATTGGACACAGGCACGACCAGGAAAGATAGTTTCAGAATGAACACCTCAGAGGTATCTAAGACACACACATCATCGAATGCTTTCTTGCCTTTTATCAACTGTAGCTCTTTGACAAAACTGACCAATGCTTTTAACTCCTAATGTTCTCCTTACCATAGTCTACTTCCTATTATCACATACAGACAATCTCTGGCGACTAGCATCTCGATCTATAAACGCAGGTATTGTACTCATGTACACACTTTAATGTCTCTTACTGATTCACTCCGTCTCCTGTAGAAGAAAGGGTCCAGATCTGTGTGGGGTTGGGATGGGTGAAGGGGCACAGGGAAGTTTGATAAAAGGCTCCTATCCCATTTCAAGGATCATGCTGTTGAGCTGGCAGAAAAACGATGGAAAGGTGCCTGTTCTGATAGGGAGATTGGACATAGGTGGTGATCGAATGTGAGAGCCTCTGATTTGCTACTCCCAAGCTGCATCTAATGTAGCAATGTCTCTATGAAACCGGAGTAAGGGTGGGGGCTTGTGACACTAACAGATCTTTGTTTTTCTATGCAGTTTCCAGATCACACCCCTAATCCAGGGAAAATAAAGACCATTGCCAGCATTGCAGAAGACTAGGACCTTGCTGGACCCAGTATAGATCGTACACTTCTGGTCATGATCATTAGTGAGGTATCATCAATGTTAATTTTAGCAGGGGAGCATCTGGCAGAGGTGGCAGAGATTATACGCAGACTCTAGTGAAGACTGAAGAGTTGGCAATAGGTTGGAGCTCCAGCAGGGAGCACATGGCAAGCCTTGAAGGAACAGGTGGTGACCACTTTGGGAGCCCAGTGCAGCAGAACAATCAGTCTCTGCTGGATATGCACAGGGACCTTTTTTTTTCCATAGCTTGAGCCACAGATGCATTCATCCACTGGCTAGACAAGAGGGGGCTGAGGGAGCATGGCTACCTCTAGAAGCCGCATCCCAACAGGGGCGAGGGAGTTTACATTGGCCACCAACAAGGAGGAGGAGTGACATTCTTACACTCAAGCATTGCCATCTCAGGATTCTCCAGAGGTGTCCTGCTGCACCAACTCCACTGGGTCAGGGACCCAAATGCCTCAATCAGGTTGGGTTGGCTTGGTTGCATTTATACGTGTACTGGGACCCCCTGGAGGAAAGAGCCCTCTGGACCCCAGACCAATAAAGAATGCCTGCCGGGTATTGGGAGGCAAACCAGCAAAGCTGGCAGCAAGCATCCTCAAGTTTACCTGCAGTTATGGAGGTGGGATCCACATATGGGGGGAGGAAAGAAAAGATTAAACAATGTTGACGTCACTTTGAGTGCACAAGAGTAAAACAAAATATAGAACAGCATTCCAGCGGAGGCTCCATCTCATCCATTGAAGCTCCTGCCCTGGTCACCAGAAGATTCCACCAATAAGAGAATATTATTTTACATAATAGAAAAGAATTTGTAAAATCTTATTAAGGGGTCATGTGCAATTATTTGGCAAACCTAAATAATCATTTTAGAAAGATAAAAGTGTTCCAAATTTCACTCATCAAATCTCTTGCAGAATAATTCATTTCTGATCGACAGTAGTCAACTCGAACCAGTCTCCAACTCATCCATTACAGTCACGAAAATAACAAGTGTAC